CTTTCTTTCTTTCTTTCTTTCTTTCTTTCTTTCTTTCTTTCTTTCTTTCTTTCTTTATCTTCCAGCTATTTCTAAACTTATTTTGAGGTTTTGAGGGGCCACAGGAAAACAGCATTTGTAGCCATTCACACTGGGTCTCCAGTCCACTGTTTGGGAGAATTTTGGATAATATTTCTGTGCAACAAAATTTCCCTTGATTTGGTCACATATCAGCAAAAATGTCTGCCCTTTGAGTGTTTCAAAACTGTATCTTCTTTCTTTACCTTTGCCCCAAGAGTGAAAACTGATCATTTGCTTTCTGATTATGTTTTACTTTAGTCTACTTTCCAAGAGACCCAAACTTCCCACCAGAAACATTCTGAAAAACGCATCTACATCCCTGATTGCACTTCTATGCAGCCACTTCACTTCACTCAGTTCTATTTATAGCTGAATTAAACCCAAAATCTATATAAGGGATTTTTGCTTAGTTCTTTTTCATTTATTCAGAGTTCACTTAAATTGACCTATTAAGTACTAACATGGTCACTAAAGGTAATCTTGTTCTACATAATTACAAAAAGTGTTTAATGGCATTTTTCTTTCTCTTTCTGGCTTATTTCACTTAGAATGACAATCTTCAATTATATTCATATATATAAAATTATATATATATAATTAAAAAAGCAAAATTATATATATAAAATTTAAAAAATGTACTTAATGACTGAATGATGGATGACTCTCTGTTGCTGTCTATAATTATTAGCTTTCATCACAATAATGGTGTGTAACAACCTCCAAGTCACTGTGGCTTTACCAGAAAATATTTATTTTCTCTCCTATGGGTCTGTAGTGGGTGGGGGTTCAGATGATCTAAGATGGACTTTTTGGGGTTTTTTGGTGGGGGAGGTAATTAGGTTTATTTAATTATTATTTTAATGGAGGTACTGGGGATTGAACCCAGGACTCCATGCATGCTAGCATGCACTCTACCACTGAGTTATACCCTCCCTCTAAGAAGGTTTTTATTGACTTGGCCCCTTGCTCCAGGTAGGGGCAGGTCTGCAACACGCATCTCATTGTGTGGCCAGGGTGTACTCTGCTCACCTGGTTGCACTAATGCAAGAGGGCGGGCCCAGGTCTCAGGCACAGTTCACACCTCTCATTGCTTCACGGTTGTTAGTAGCCCATTGGCCAAAGCAAGTCACATGACCAAGCCCCAACTCAAAGTGTGGGAAATGCACTCCACTAACCACATGGCAATGGCAAGGGTGTGGAAGTATAGTTCTGTATCAGTGGAGTGAAGAGTCAATGGCTGACTGATTGAATGTTCATTTTCACATTTACTGGTACCTTGTCTTGGATGGGTTAAAAATTAAGAAGTTTATGATCACTTTCAACAGCTTTGGCCTCAAGGGAAGTAAACCCTCAAAGTTTAAGTTAGCAGGTGCATTTTCTTTGAAGTCCATGATTTATATGTTATGTTAGCTGAGATAACTCCTAGTAGGAAATCACAGAAGGTTTACAAAAAAATCTGAATTCTTTTTGCAAGTGCTTATTGCTTGTACTTCATTTAAGGGCAAATGCACTGACATGAAGGAAGATGGATTTTGGCTTTTATTCTGGGGCTTTCTCATCAAGCTGTGCACTGGCCACAACCTACCTCTCTTCTCTTATCAGGAAGGCGATACTCACATATTTGAGTTTGAGCTCAGATGGGAAAGATCAGAAGATCCATCCGAATGGTGGTGCACGTCTCCAAGGTGTTCAGGAAGAATTCTTTACAGTGTGGCTTCTGAGAAAGCACCTCACCACAGTCTTTCTCTATGAAAGTCTTATTTGGAGCCTGTGACTCATAAAATGATTATGCAAACCAGGCTGGGCCACACCATTCCTTCCATAAAGTAGAAATACCCTAAGAAAGACCTAACGTTAGATTTTTTTTTTAATTACCTTATTTTATCGTAATTTGATTTGTGTTTTATTGAGTCCCATGTTTTGTTGTTCTTGTTTAGGTCCAAAGGGATTTCCAGGTCGTCCGGGCGCTCCCGGGCTGAGGTGTTTGGATGGGCCAAAGGGTCAGCGTGGCAAACCAGGAATCTCAGGAATACCTGGTCCACCTGGTAAATAAGGGCTTTTCATCTAGGGATGTCTGGATGCTGAGCGATCTCAGTCAGCAAATGGCCCAGGGATCCCTAGGGGGTGGGGGGATGGTTTTTCCTGATACATTAAATTCTTACCTATGTTTGGATCACTCCTCCATTATGATACTTCTGTGACTTCTCAGGGCTCCTTAAACCCGAAGCATGAGTTATAGGCTATCACTGGTTTATGTCATAAGAACTGCTCGGTCTCGACACTGTTAGACAGTAAATGAAAGCAATGAGGGAAACACCATGGCTCATAGGAAACACAGAGTTACAATTTATCTCCTGACAAAAGGTAGCAAAAAACAATATTGCCTGTTAAGTTACTCTTTGTTTTAGTAAGTAGCCCTGCATTTAAAAACAATGTGTTTTTCATTCAAGGTAATATACTTCTATGTATGTTGGCTCTATATTTGTACATATAATGATTTAAACAATTGTTTTGTTGTTGTTGTTCAATAGGTTTTCGTGGTGATGTGGGAGAGCCAGGTTTTGAAGGAGAAAAGGGGTCCTCCACTGTTGGGCCCCCAGGCTCTCCAGGTTCACCTGGAGTGAACGGTCAGAAAGGACCCCCGGGAGACCCTGCTTATGGCTACCCAGGACCCCCAGGAAAGAGGGGTCTTTCGGGAGTTCCAGGGTCAAAGGGACTCAGAGGTGATCCTGGACGCCCAGGGGCTGCAGGTATGAGGGCTGCTCTGTCCTTGTGGTCCATAAAGCCGGCTTGGCTCTGGTCACTGAAAAGCGTTCCGCCTATTTGCCTTCAAACTCTAGAATGTAACATTTCCACCCCGGTGTCTTCCCTTGTATAAAGCGCTGGTTACATTTCAAATAATCTGTATCCCCCGTGTTGCCTTTGCATATCATTGATTGCTTTCCAATCTAATTCACTGTGGCTCAGTTGGTTCAGTTTAATTCAGCAGCTACTGGACATCGGCCTGCTTTGGACTCAAGACACAATGTCAAGGCCGAAGGGCGGGGACCATGTGAGCCGCCCACTGCCATTGCCAGGCTGCAGGAGGGCAGGAGAAGAGCGGCTCAGGGAGGCAGAGCAGTGTGGGCTGGAGTCCAGGGAAAGCTCTGGCGGGGAGTGGGCAGGAGCTGAGTCCTGGCAGGCACTGCGTTCATCAGACAGGTGTCAGGATGGAGAGACTCACTCCAGCAGGGGCAGCAGGCGGGATAGCGAAACTTCAGGTGGGGAGGTGGCCTTGGCACTGAAGTTCTTTTCTGAAATCACTATGGGTTCTTCAAGATCCCCCACCGAGATTGGCAGATTTTAATATACTTACAGGGGAGAGGGC